AGAAGAAATCCAAAATCGACATAAAGAGATACGGTAAGAGTGAATAGAAAAAACCTTGATCACTATTAAGGATCTCGTCAGTCTACAATCGATCGCTGTCGCTGGTAGTATCACGAATCAGGAAGACAAGAACACATTATTGCTAGTCGAACTGTAGAATAAAACCTTGATCGCTGCTGTTGGTAGTATCACGATTCGCCAGAAGAAGAGAAAGACGAGAGAGAGCACAGGAGATCGAATTCTCATATAAAATAGGGGGAACCAAATTTGGGAATGCCGCTTGTTTTTTAGGTTTTAGGGTAATTTTTTTTTAAAGTCAAAAATAAGTTTTATTATTTTGTCAATTTTTTTCCCTCGTTGACCGAATTTGAATTTGTTGACCAATTTTGACTTGTTGACCGAGTAGCCCGAGTAAGACCGAGTTGTAGAGAGGTTGACCAAGTTTTGACCGATTTTGATTTAGTCTGATTTTTTCCTCGAGTTAACACTACTCCCCTCAGTAGAGGCCCGATTCCGAGTTCTCGGTCGAGTAGTCCGATTTTTGAAACACTGGGTGTTGTAGGTGGTAATGGAGGTTATGGGTGGTGGTGGTGGTGACATTGACGGTGGTGGTCATAGTGGTATCGACGATGGTGATGGTGGTGGTGGTGGTAACAGAAATGGTGGTAGTGTTGTGTGACATCCTCATTTTCATGGTCAGAAAATACCGATTTTGTTTATGCTTGTTTGAAAATTAGAGTAATATTTTTCATAAAAGTGTTGCGGAATTTGTTCCCAAAATATAATATGATAAAGATTTATCAAAGCATTTCTGTAGAAATGTATTTCATTAAAAAGACTCGGGATGTCATGTTCGATACAGATTAAAAGCATAAATAATACAATATAAGCCTTACTACATTATTTCATATCTACAGGCCTATATCCGTAATCCCTCATCCAAAACATCACATCTATGCTCGAGCGCCACTACCTGTAATACATGAAACTGAGTGGGTCAGGCTTGGGATCCTGGTGAGCACATAAGGTTTTTAACCCACAATAAATAAGTTTGTTAATTTCATCAACCAACAATAACCCAATTACCCGTTTCCATTATCCTCACATTACGTCCCTAAAACACCTATCATAAGGGACCTAGACTAATGATCAACATTGGGATGGACACTAATGCTAAGGGGATTCCTCAACAATAATGTCCTTAAAGCAACCATGTGGGGGATGAAGTACACCGGTGAACACATCGTTCACAAACACTTACAAGTTGTGAGCCTGCTAGCATTCCACTAGACTGTCTAGAAGAGTTTCTGGTTGTCATCCATACTCAACTAGATGACAGAGTCAACACCAACAAAATCGAGACCTCTCATCATTTTATCACACATCGTCTAATACATCTACCCATGTTTTACCCCCAACATTTCTGTAGATATAAAATACATATACAGTTTAAATCATATAAAACTTGTATAAAATCGTTCATCCAGCATACATAGTAAATATACAGATAATATGCACACATAACACTTAGTTTATATAAAACACTTCATATCTATGTGCAAGACGAAAGGGACAATGCACTCACTTGAAAAGGTGGTGATTCTGAACTCAGACAGCGCTTCGCTTCTTAAAAAATAATTTCCTTCGACGAAACCTAGTATTATTACCACTAGAGTTTAGTCTATTATTCTTCGAGACTAATTAATAGTCTAGCTATTATTACTATTATATAAGCGTTAAACAATACTTATATAACCCATAATAATAGCTCAAGTACTTATAATAAGTTCCTAATAACGTTACTATAATTAAATAAAAGTTATATTAAAAATAGTGTAAGCGTATCTCACTTAAAACGGGTTTTATAGAAAACCGGGCTTTGCTTGGAGCAGCATTCCCGAGTCAAAATCGAAGCTTCCGAGCACTCCGGGGCTTCCGCCTCGTGCTAGGGAGGTTCCATAGGCTTTTCGGGGCTAGAGAGAGGTTCTAGAAAGAGAGTAAAGAGAAGAAAGAATGAGAAATGTGTGAAGAAAATGAGGGTGAGAGAGGTTCTATTTATAGGGTGAAATGTCGCTGAACTTTGTGACATATGTCACCATCTGGTGGCAAGACTTGGGGAAAAAACAATGACCAAGATTGTACCACATCACTCATTTTCGCACAACACATTTTCGAATTCTAAAATCCGTAACTTTCACATACGAGCTCCATTTTTAATGTTCTTTATATCCACACGTAGGTAAAAATAAGATCTACAACTTTCATTTTGACCCCGTTGGATAATTCTTGACCGATCTTAAATTTAACAGTACGAGGAGATTATACTGTTAAGTGTCCACGTAAAATTCATAACTTCTACATACGGACTTTGTTTTCGTATGTATTTTTACCGTTAAGTTCCTATTAATGAGATCTTCAATTCTTATTTAGGTCGCGTAGGCCAAAAACCGCTCGATCTAAAATTCGAGTTTCAGGTTGTGCACTGTTAAGGCAAATGTTAGAAAATTCACAACTTTCTCATACGAAGTTAGATTTGGATATTTTTTTAATGTTCCCGGTCTAACGTATAATACAATTTTTGTTTAGATTTCTAAGGCTAAAAAGTCCTCCATCGTAAATTCACTATTTACGCTTCCTGGTGTCGTGCCGGTTCCGTCGCGAAACTTCGACGGATCATAACTTCTTCGTTATAACTCGGATTTCGACGTTCTTTATATCCCCAAAATCCTTGTTTCGACCACTACAACTTTATGTAAAGATATCGGGCTTATCTCATACTTTAGTTTTGACGCTTATTTTTATTTTTTATTAATTATACCTTTACAATTAGATTATAAGCACACAAATACACATAATTCTTATAGTATTCAAATATTTCATATTTATTACTTCAAAAAGAGTTATAATAGTTGACCTAGACTATTACATCATCTAAAATGCTTAGCCCTGAAACCCGGGTGTTACATGTTGGGTGGCAGTAGCGACGACATTAATGGTGACAGTTAGTGGTGGTGGTGGGAGGTTGTGGAGATGATGGGTGGTGGTGGAGATGTTAGGTAGTGGTGGCGAAAGTTGTGGTGGAGGTGGTTACGAGTAGTGACGGAGGTTTTTCATATTTAATGTTAAAATGAAAAGGGTAATATGGTAATCTTCAACATTCTCATTTGAAGGAATTTAAATTTTCTCATCTTTTAGATATAATTTATTTTCCCTCAATGGAAGGAAAGTTGGACACATTTAAGAATCCAATTCTTTCTCAAAACTTGAACCAAACATAAGAAAATGATGTAATTAAATTTCAATTCCTTCCGATTCCTTCCAATTCAGCGAACCAAACGACCCCTAAAAACGCGCACATCAGCCCCGCATCAACAAAAAACACAGTCAGCGCAATCTAAACCGAGAGTTACCTGCAGTCGATAAGGAAACCGACTAAATGACATAAATGAAAAAAGTTTGAAATATTAAACATTAATTCACAAAAAAACGTTGGAGGGACGAAACCGACAAAGGTTGTGAAACTTAAAAGCTTTTTTGTTAAAATGCCAAAAACAAAAAGCAGCTTAATATATTTTACAAACAAGTAAGTTAAAATATTCATAACTTTTTTATTTTGACACCTTAAACCAAAAATATTGAATAACATTGTTAAAATATATAACTTAAACAAAACGATACAAATTGTCATTACATTTATTGATGAACTAGTTGTGAGACCCGTATAATATACGGGTTGATTAAAACAAAATGTTAAGTACGAACGATTAAATAGAAATTTTATTTGAATTTGAAATTGAAATAAGTGAAAACTATGAGAAAAAAACATGCAAAGAATAAATTAATTAAAATTATATGTTTAGTGTAGTAAACGAGTTAATTATAACAAAATATTAAACATAAAGGTTTAAACTGTAAATTTATTTGGAATTGAATTTGAAATTTAAAATTTAAAATTTAATAGTCATTATGGTAGTTTTAATTTATGGAAAGTAAATTAATAATATATTGAAAATGAAAATTAAAGTAATAACAAGTGGAAAATAAATATATCTCAAATTATGATAAAATGACATGTGGCTAAATTTATGAGAGAAGGACATGTGGCAAAATTATTTTCATTTATTATAGTAGAAGATTGACGACATCGTGTATATATATTTCGAATATGACGTGGTCAATTCATCAGCAAAATGACCTTATCTTTTTACAAATATTATAAATGAAACTGATATTTATTTGTTATAATTTACAAAATTTTATTAATTATTAAATTTAATTAAAACTCATCGTATATATATATTTTTAATATTATACTATATTGGTATATTTTCAAGTTTAATAAGAAAATAACCAATTTAATAAATGAGAAGAACCTTTATAATTAAACTAGAGTTTGTTAAGAAAATTTAAAAATGAAAAATATAATATATAGATAATATTTATTAGGTTGGCAATTATTGATATAATCTAATATTGAAATGAACTTGATACTAAAATAAATAAGTTTGGATTGAGCTTTTCTTACCCGTCATATTTGGGTTTGCAATTATTTTCACGAGTTTATCTATTAACTCATTTATTTTATTAGATTAAAAAACATATTTAATAAATGGAAAACCTCTATAAATTATTGTAATGTTGTTCCTTTTAGAAACAAAATATTATTAAATTTATGCATTGCTTAGTTATTATTATTGTTGAATAATTTCATCTTATAGATAAAATATATTTTAGATATTATTATTGATATTTTGATATTTAAAAAATATATAGATATTTAAGAAATATATATAATGTTTTTATATTTAAGAATTATATATATATATATATATATATATATATATATGATTTTTTATTTTTAAAAATTATATATAAATAATTTAAAATTTTATAAAGATTAGATATGATAATTAAAAATCAAAGAAAATATAATATTTTAATGTTTAGAGAAAGGTAGCCTATAGTTATTACGACTTTAAATTACAATATCTAACCGACATCACACGTCTTGGATTCATTCACTTCGGAAGTCACGGTCAAACACCCCTAAATCGATTGTGTGTTTAAGCATAGAAATGGAAGCAAAAAACGGGAGGTTGGGAGCTAAAAACAGAGTTTGACGATGATATATTGATATTCATAGTATTATGATATCATATGCCATTTTTGTAATCAGAAACAAGAAGAGGGAAAATTCAAATCCGATTCTCACTTTCAGTTGTAATTTCAGCAATTTTCGGTTTCTTAATCTCCAAATTTCAATTCAACACCTACCGGTTGCAGATGATATAATTATAAAATAAATTTTCCACCATCGTCATCGTCATCATAAATCATCATCAAGTATAATACCTACTACTAAGACTGACTTCTCCTGTATTATTCAATCTCTCTCACTTCCCTTATCCTTCACCCTTACTACTTCTTCCATGGCGCATGATAGTGACCTCCCTTGCGACGGAGATGGCCGGTGCATGATCTGCAAAATCAGTCCACCGTTGGAAGAGACGCTTACTTGCAAGACCTGTGTTACGCCTTGGCACCTCAACTGTCTATCTGCTCGTCCACAAACCCTAGCCGATGCTGCCCAATGGGAGTGTCCAGACTGTTCAATTCTCATCTCATCTCACCCGCCTCCGTCCACAGTCACATCGGGATCTGAACCTTCCGCTGCGCTGATTGCGGCAATTCGCGCCATCGAATCTGATGTCTCGCTCTCTGAACAAGACAAGGCCAAGAGACGTCAGCAATTGCTGAGTGGAGGAGGATCCGATGATGGTGATAAAGCAACCAATGCCAATAATGAGATCGGCGTCGGCGGTGATAGTGATGTTCTGAAGCTTCTCAGCGGCAGCTTGAACTGTTCGTTTTGCATGCAGCTCCCGGAGAGACCCGTCACGGTATCATTTATTGGAACCAACACAAAAGCAATATCTTAACAAATGAAGTACACACATTCTGAGATCTAGCTCCATGTACACACTAGGAATTGTGTTAGATTTACTCTAAACCCTAAATCCTTCTCAGATTACCGTCAATTATCGCAGTCCCTATTGAACACACTCACTCACTGGCATTGGTTTCATGGTGATTTATGCCCATAGATAGTACAATTTACTGTTTCAACAAGTACTTGTTCCATATATGCACTAACAGCCAACACAAAAAGTCTTCATGAAATATTCATTAATCCCGATCCTTTCTTCTTTTTGCTGGAAATGGCTTAAAATAGAAAATCTCAAATTCTGGTAGAATAGTGGTCCATCTTGTTGAAGAATATGACTAAAAATTATCCAATTGGTGCGTTCATAGTCTTACTTGGATACTTTATTGTCCTATTTTGTTGGATTTTTTTGGCATCTCTCTGTTTTTATGTTCATTGTTGAAGTTGCAACAAAACTTGTTTGTTTATTGGTTCTTGTTGCAAGCAAAAGAGACACTGATCTATGCATTATAATTCATATCACAACCTTAACTTGCCCTTTTGTTACAGACACCCTGTGGTCACAACTTTTGCTTGAAGTGCTTTGAGAAATGGGTAGGACAGGGGAAAAGAACTTGTGCCATATGTCGAACTTCAATTCCTCCTAAAATGGCAAGTCAGCCTCGAATCAATTCATCACTTGTAATAGCAATCAGAATGGCGAAGTTGACCAAGTCAAATGCTGCTTCAGGGCCACCTAAACCCTATTATTCTGTTCTAAACCAAAACAGACCAGACAAAGCTTACACCACTGATAGAGCAAAGAAGTCAGGGAAAGCCAATGCATGCAGTGGAAAGATATTTGTAACAGTTCCACCTGATCATTTTGGACCCATTCTTGCAGAAAATGATCCTGAAAGAGGAACAGGTGTTCTTGTTGGTGAAACTTGGGAGGATCGTATGGAATGCAGACAATGGGGGGTTCATCTTCCTCATGTTGCTGGGATTTGTGGTCAATCTCATTATGGTGCACAATCTGTTGCACTATCTGGAGGATATGAAGATGATGAAGATCATGGAGAGTGGTTTTTATACACTGGAAGGTATGTGATAATGTCCACTAATTTGTGGATTTTCTTCTTCTTCTTCTTCTTTACATTTTATCTGTTATCTACAGTGGTGGGAGAGACTTGAGTGGAAATAAAAGGACAAACAAGACACAATCTTTTGATCAGAAGTTTGAGAAATATAATGAAGCTTTACGAGTTAGTTGTAGAAAAGGGTATCCAGTACGCGTTGTGAGGTCACACAAAGAAAAAAGATCTGCATATGCACCTGAAAAAGGCGTAAGATATGATGGCATTTACAGGATTGAAAAATGCTGGATGAAACCTGGAATCCAAGTAAGATAATTATTATTCCTCTATTCGCTGATGTTACTATTCTTCCCAAACAAAAATGACTGTTGTGCCCCTGATAGGGTTACAAGGTATGCAGGTATCTCTTTGTTCGTTGTGATAACGATCCTGCTCCATGGACAAGGTTTGTAATTGTAATTTCCGTTACATCATTTGAATAATGAATTCAAGTTATTTACTTTTGATTATGATTTTGTAGCGATGAAAATGGGGATCTCCCAAGGGCTTTGCCTTCCATTAAAGAGCTTAAAAATGCAACTGATGTAACAGAGAGAAAGAGCACTCCATCTTGGGATTATGATGTGAGATGATTAAATGTCTTTTCCTTTTCTTGAAGGGTTTCGCTTTTCTTTTAGTAAAATTTTAATTATTTTGTCCAGGTGGAAAAAGCTTGTTGGCTATGGAAAATAGCTGCACCAGAAAGTAGAAAGCATACAGATAATGGAGATGTTGAAGATGGAAATAGTACAAGGAAAGTTCGCCGTAAGACACAAACAATGTCTGTAAGTGAACGGCTCCTGAAAGGTCAGAAGAAACAACTTGTACTGTGTTTGACATGTATTGGACTCAGACTGATACTGATACTGATATTGATATGTACTTTTAATCGCACAGAGTTTTGCTGTTTTATCTGTCACAAAGTGATGAGTCTCCCGCTTACTACTCCCTGTGCACACAATTTCTGCAAGTCATGTTTACAGGAAGCTTTTGCTGGGCAAACTTTTATGAAAGAGAGGACATGTGAAGGGAGACGAACACTTAGGGCACAAAAGAACATCATGAAATGTCCATCATGCTCTAATGACATTTCTGAATTCCTCCAGAATCCACAGGTATATATTTATATACGGATGCAAAATGAGACAATTTTTTTTTTAATGTGTTATTTTGTTTTTTTTTTTTTGATAGGTTAATAGGGAATTGATGAGTGTGATAGAATCGCTTCAGAGGCAGATGAAAGAGACTGAGAAAAGTGATGATATTATAGCTTTAGAGGGAGTCAAGGATACTGATGATGATAAAAATGTATTAGTTGCAGAAACTTCACATAAAAGCATTAAAGTAAGTGTTGAGACTGGTGATGAGGTTGCTAAGGGTTCAACTTCAGGAGGTTGAGTTCAGCAGCTGATTTTATTTTATTTTTCATTGTTAAATGTTGAGTTGAGAGGTTGCAGAGTATATGTATGTATGTCTGATTTCTCTGCGTGTTTTATTATTGCATTTGACAGAATTTTTTATGTTTGTGTACAGAGCAAAGTTTATTAGGTTTTAGTAATAAGTTGGTATTTAGTTAGTTGAAGAGATGCTTGAGAGAGACATCAAACTGCTACTTGTGATTACTTCTTCGCCTGAAAAATCAAGAGAATAAAGGGGATATGAAAGTCTAAAGATCCATGAATGGATGTCTACATCGTAATTCGATAACAACTTAGGTGGAAGTGTCATTGTATGCTACATGTTTGAAAACTATTTGCGAATTTATGTAATAATATGTAAATTTGTTTTAAAAATATTCGATCTACAATTTCATCTTGCCAAACTTATGTTATCATATTTACATGATGTTGAGAAACTTATGTTATCATTTCAGACCAATGCATAATGATCCGTTTCTGGCCACATATTTTCGGGCCTAAAAAGAATTGCATTGACTTTAGTTACTTTTAACATCTAAAACAAAATACAAAATTATTAACTCGTCTTCTTTTTGTTAGGTGATTTATAGGAAACACTAAGTTTTATTTTGTTTGAAATTTATGGCTTTAAAATCTCATTTTAAATACCTTGTTGTAATTGTTTTTTTTTCTAGCTTCTTGCAAGAGACTCGATAATATTCAGCCGTTCTAAAAAAAAAACAAATTTGTGATATATTCTAACGAAATATTATTCATAATAAATATCATGTCTAATATTCTATAATAATATTGTTAGTCTAATATTCTATAATAATATTGTTAGTATTTTAAAATTTTATGTATAATAGTATTATTTTTAATGTTTGACATGCATGATGTTAAAGATTTTAAAACCATGCAAATTGTAATATCGATAAAATATTATACATATTTTTTTTTTAACAATACTGTCATAATATTTCACAATAATAGTGATTTTTTTGTTTATATATATATATATATATATATATATATATATATATATATATATATATATATATATATATATATAGAGAGAGAGAGAGAGAGAGAGAGAGAGAGAAAAAAAACTGAATATACATTATAACCCCATCTAAACTTAGGTACTAAACCTCATGAAAATACGTCATTTTACTATATAAAGATTGCGGTTAGGTGATTTACGATTAACACTTGAAGGTGTAGATTCAATATCGACGCAATAATTTTGATAAAGAAGCAAAAACATTGATTATTTTCGACTTTCGTGATAGTGAAAAAAGTAATGTTCATTACGGTGAAGTAATAAACGATAATGTAAGAAAGAAAACAAGGATGATAAAACGATAATGTAGTAAATAAATGTTATGGATGATAGTATATTTACTAAGTGAAAAGTTGGGTATATTTATGATGTGCACAGAAGTACCCACTAATTTTAATATTTATAACCTAACTAACTCAACTAACTAAAATGCACCTAGGCAGTGTACCTAATCGAATTATAAAATAGTTGGGTAAGTCGGGTGTCGATCTCAGGGAACGGTTTTAACTAATTAATTTGTCTACTATTAAATTAACCTAATTTTAGAGGAAAGAGGGGGTTTTATCTGATTTTGCAAGAGCAAATGAATTTAAATCACAAAAATCAATCAATTAATTAAAAACACTCCTCTCTAGTTTGAATCCACTTCTTTATTTATGTTTGGCTAATAATTATGGATTATCAAAGTTTGTCACCAATTATTATGTAATTAGCAATTCAAGTCCAAATTTACTAATCTTTTTACCAATTCATGAACTACCTTGTATGGTCACACATAAGCAAAACACTAAATTAGTTATTAATTACAGATGAGCTATGTAAGATTTATCCGACAAACACAATTATCGTCATAAATTATGTCCTCTAACACATCTAAATTAGTTACTTTTATCACTTATCTAAGATTTTGGTCGATCCTAGCTCTAGCAATTCAATGTTCACTAAATCACTAGGTTTCAAGTTCATGTAATTTAATGGTTATTAAGCTTCACAGAACATTAATTTAAGCAACTAAGAAACTAAAATAACATGCTAGATAATGATAATTCAACACAAGTAATTTACCAACTAATCAAATTCAATAGTCATTGAGCTAAAACATAATTCAAAAGCTTCATCTAGCTAGACAATAGCTGCTACATTCAGGCTTCGGCTACTCATAGTAACAGGTAAGCAAAAACAACTCAAGTTCTCAAACATGTTCATAACTATCAAACTAATTAACTAAATATGAATATTTTCTCCTTTTGATGTTGAAAGCCTTTTCCAGGACTCTTCTTCTGCTTAAAATCGTCTTCATGTAACCTTCCAATCAGCCAAAAGTCCCCAAAGTCGTAAGGGTCAAGAGATTATATAGTTTTCTGATTTTTCGAGTTCACGTCGTGAACCATAAGGATTTACGTCGTGAATATGGGATAAACGTGTTCGACAATGACTCTTTCACCCGCATGCATATCTTATAGAATTCTCCACTCAAGTCGTGAATCATGAATTATTCACGTCGTGAGTACGTCTTTTGCCGACTTTTTTCATTCTTCTTTTCTTCAATCCTCCAAAGTTCCATATTCTGTCAATTTCAGTCCCTATC